AAGAATTGACATCACTCTCAGACTGTGTCTACTCCACCCTAATACCAGGAATCATTGCTTCGAGGACGCTTTGCACCATCTGGCCACATTGAGGGCTTTACTGCAGAGATTGGAGCCAGTGGGTCTTACTGTCCCCAGCATGTCACGCTGCCTGTCATTGTTACCTTTTTTGATGTTTCTGAGCAAAATGCCCCGGCACCCTTCTTGGTATGATATAGAACTGACCCCAAAGTTACCTCAGAGGGGTTGGGGGTAGGAAGAGTGGCCAAAGGTATTCCTTACATGATCTTCTAGGAGTTAGGCAGGGTCAGGTGGGCAAAACTCTAGTATGGGGTGGGGCAAAGTCCAAGGGGAGACATAGAGCAGTCAGTATTTAGTGTTCATAGCTCTCTAGTTCCTACCTTGGCTAATGGATTATGATCTTCCCTAGGGTGTTGTGGACCTGAATCCTCTGGGGAGGAAGGGTTACAGTGTGCCCAAGGTGGGCACCATCCAAGTGGTGAGTGGGGGAATGGTACCCAGAGGGAGTTGATGTGGGAAGAGAGGAAAATCAATCCATAGACTGTACTGACCTGGACTGTCCTGTTCCCAGACCTTATTTAACCCCAACCAGACTGTGGTGAAGATGTTCCTTGTGACCTTTGACTTCTCGGACATGCCTGCTGCCCACATGACCTTCCTGCGCCATCGCCTCTTTTTGGTGCCTGTAGGTGAGGAGGGAAATGCTAGCCCCACCCACCGCCTCCTCTGCTACTTGCTGCACCTCAGGTGAGTCCAGGACCCTGGGAGTGGGGGGAAGTTCAGTTCCCTACCCTCAAATAGGATCTCTCCTTTCTTCTCAATCATCTGGATACTGACTTGGTTTGTGCTGTCTTCCCCCAGGTTCCGGAGCTCCCGCTCAGGCCGTTTAAGCCTGTATGGAGATATCCGCCTGCTTTTTTCCCGCCGGAGCCTGGAGCTGGACACAGGGCTCCCCTATGAACTACAGGCTGTGACTGAGGCCCCCCATAATCCACGTTATTCACCTTTGCCCTGATTGCCATCATTCTGAAGCTAGGTGGGCCCAGAGCCTGCCTATCCTGCCCCATCCTGGACAGGGTAAACTGTGGAGAAATGGCAAGAGCCCCTTCAGGCTTGAATTAAAGTCCTCATCACGCTCATACCCAAATTGATTATTTGGGTGTTTAAAGCTTCTGATCCTTCCATACCCTGTCTACTCTGGGTACTCCATGTGCCTGTCCCCTCCCTTGGGTTTCCCAGGCCAGCTTAGGTAGTACAGAGGAACCAGAGCTACCCTGAGATTGTCCCAAGTTCCTAGGCAAGCAATGCCAGTGTTGCCTCCCTGTCCTGGGCAGGGGCCACTTATTATTTTATTTATTTTTAATTTATAATTTATTCAAATTGGATTGCCTTGGTGACCTCCCAAACCTGATAATTGGCATCACCCCACTCTCAGATATTGCTCCAACCTCAGGACTTGAAGAAGCTGATGCCGAGGCAAGGGGAGAACTGCTCTCCCTTGGCTA